GCGATTGGGACTAAAACTGCAATCAACATTTTTGCACCCCGATATAGGAAAAAAAAACAGTTTTCACATCTGTATATCTATACTAATATAAAGCTGAAGAGTTTGTTTGAACGCGCTAATCTCAGATAAGGGTTCGAATTGAAAAATTTTTTTGTGTTGGTTAGAGCATTTATCGAGGAAGGATATAGGCTATAAAACATCGTACTATAACGAATAGGAGCGAAGATAAAGTGGGAAATGTGACAAAACGTGGGAAAATTATTCATCATTATGGGTTTCCGAAGCGTACGCTGCAAAAACGGTTCAAGAGACGAGAGAGAATGATTCCTCTTTAGATTAAAAAAGTACCCTATGTCTATCTTTTAACATTATCTTGCAAGAACGACTGGAAGGGGCGCGACCGACAACGTATAAAATAACTAAACCAGCTAGTAAATCATATTTGAGGGGCTCATTGGTGTAATGGTGTATGTATGGCTAATAATCAACGGGTTGTGGTTCTATTCCCACCGCGTCCTGTCATAATATGTATGTAAACTTTTGCGATAACGGAAAAAGATTCTGCACAAGGATACAAATACATACAAACGAATTTTCTTTCTTGTTAGATATTTGTAATAGGTACTTTAGGTAAAAATGCGTAGTTTTAACCCAATATAAATAATTCAATCATAAACTTCGTCTAAAAGCAAAAGCCTATTTCAAAAATAAATCCCCTTAACAGTATGACTGATACTTTTAAAAACCGCAACTTAAATTGTTAAGTACATTTAAAAACGTTTACTTTTCCCTTCATTTCAACTCGTTATTAATTTTTCTTCGCGTCAAAGTAAATGTTTAATTACAATTAAACTTACTTTATTACTCACTGTCTATAGTTTACGCGAGTAGTACATATTTAAACAAAACACTTTAACGGTTTAAAACGCGATATATTAGTTAAACTTATTTGAAAATGAAAACACCGAAATTTCAATAGGGAGGACGGCCTCAAACTATCAAACACCTGGGATCCCATATTAAAAACTCTGGATCCCAATAAACAGCATACCAGCAAACGCGAAGACACCGTTAGTCAATTCTGTAAGGACCCGGCCACTTTCGCCAACCATACCAACTTCGACGGAACACATGGCGCTAGCGTAGCAATTTTTTACTTTGACGTCAGAGACATCCTTCATCTTTAGTCTCCCCGTGACCACGGCTGCTGCAAAGCATCCGAAACGTCGGGCCGAAGTTAAAAATTATTTTCAAATAAGTTTAACTAATATATCGCGTTTTAAACCGTTAAAGTGTTTTATTTAAATTACTTTATTACTTGTCCATGGTTGCCATATCGTCGGTTGTACATATCGTTCTTTTGTTTGTTTTTTTTTACGTACATATTTTCTACAATAAGTAAATTAGGGTAGACCTAAATTTCAAGATGGCCGACGATTTTTTGATTCTAGGATATGTTACTTTCCTCACGATGTTTGCCAACATCGGAATGTATCTAAGGACAATCTTTACCAATAATTGAACTGCCGACCTCACGAACTCAAGTCGCTGTAAATTGGTATGAATCCGGTTCTCTCAATACATACAACTGTAATTCTTAATTATCATAGTATATAATTACTTAATCATTCAGATCCAGTCAATAAATCTACTTCAGAAGTAATAAACCTAGGATAACATTTATTTGTTCAGAATTCGGGATAATTAAATAATTTATTGTTTAGTGAATATGTTGTGTTCTTAAATACTAACTTTCCCGTGTGGTTTAGTAAGGAAACTATTTCAATAACCTTAACAATTTGAAATAAATTAGTTTTTACTATGATTTAGACCGTTTCAGAGTTATTTTATATGTACTACTCGCGTTATCTACAGACTTTATGAACACTACGTTTTGTGTTTCTCGTTTTCCCATGTGGGGCATAAGATACATTTCTATGTCTGTTTCACTGATCGCTTGTTTTTATTTACAGGTCTTCTGTATCTTTCCCGACCCAAACTACTATGTTTTTCTGATATTTGAACCTTTGAAATCTCTAGGCTATACGCAAAATATAATACAGCGTTTAATGGGCGCGGAGTCCAAAGCTTAATTAAGTAAAAGAGAAGAACCGACAAGCGTGAGGTTCACTCAATAGAATCTAAAACGATGCGCTATTGGCTTTTTTTGCTTTGGATATTCGGACAGACTGATATAGAATGCGATTAAACTTCACGACGTTTTCCTGTGCAAACTGTTATATGCAAATATCTGTTCCAAACTGTTCTTTTGATGACGCTGCACACGTGTAATAATTATATTTTTCCATTATAATAATGCCTACGTTGCAATTTAGTGCTAATAAGGAATTACTTTCGTATATTCTTAGAGTTACATTTCCACCGTCGCAGAGTGCGGACATTGTAGAGTGAGGTCCCCAATATTAATTGTACCCATACAATTATTAAATAAACGGGAATTAAGTCTAGTAGTGGATTTTCGTTTTTTTTTAAACCCCACGACCCGGTGCGCTAAAACAGAACGATAGTTCGTGACCCGGTCGGAATTCGGATGTACCATCTATTTAACACCCGTTAAATTGTTGTGATTATTTTGAAAAATCATTGAAATATAATTAGCAACATGCTGAACCCGTTAGTGATACATTACCACTATTAGACCAACGAGTAGACGACGTAAGTAGTAAATCGTTCTTATGTTTAAGAAGTAAGTTATATTTTCACGGGAAAATCACGCCTTAGGAAACCCCGACACAAGACTTTGTTAGCAGTCGCGGTGCGTTTCAAATCAAAACTTGAAATGGAATCACGCGAGTTTCGTAAAATTTGAACACAATAAACCGTAATGTAAGCAAGTCATTTGCCGTTCCTCTTTGTTCTCATACATCCGAATTGTTTATTTACAACAAATGATTACATGTTTACAACACCATTACGTGTTGTTTGTAATTTAACATTTAAAGTATTTCGTTATAGAAACGTGTATGAATGAATGAAAGAGGAAGTCGTTTGAATTATATTTAAAGGTCTACAGAGCTAAGTTACAATTACTTAAAACATATCTTATATATGTTTATATAATAGCATAATATATTAGATCAATATTAAATCTATACTTAATATTATAGAGCTGAAGGGTTTGTTTGTTTAAACGCCCGAATCTCAGGAGATACTGGTGCAAATTGATAAACTATTTTTGTTAGTTAATGAACCATTTAACGAGAAAAATTAAGCAGCGATTAATAGGAGCAAAGAAATAGTGGAAATAGCGATTTTAAGCTGGGGTCGAAGTATTCAGATGCTTTGACGGTTTCGTGGTTGCGTGGAGACAAGGCTAAAAATGCTTTCATGATAAGTTTAGATCCTCCGCACGTAATACCTGCGTTTAAACGTCGAGAACGTCTTCTCGCTCACGTAAACTGATAGACAGTAAAACATTTTGAATGAACACATTTTACCGAGAAAATTAATGAGCATTAATTTTGCAGGGTAATCTGGAAAATGCTAAGTATTAAATGGAGGTGATAGAAATGTCTAACGTGTGTAAAACTGAGTTTTGCTGTTAAGCCTAAAGGATTTATAACATGAATCAATTAAAATAAAACACTTCTAACGGTTTAAAACGCGACATATTAGTTAAACTTAATTGAAAATGATTTTTAACTTCGGCCCGAGTTTCGGATGCATAATTTTGCAGCAGCCGTGGTCATCGGGGAGACTAAATCTAACTATTAAATCGCGTTTTAAAATGTTAAAGTGTTTTATTAAATGGGTGTACTACTAAGCGTAAACTATAGACAGCATGAATCAATTATTTATATTTTGACATAGAAAATCTTTATCTTATTAGCACATTCATTCGTGACGTAAATAAACTTTGATTGCTTTTGCTTTCAAATATCTTTATTAAGTTTGTAAAAACAAGTGAAGGGAACTGGACTATGCGTTGTGACTATTAACCTATAACACACGTCTCAGAAGGGTTAAAATAAAATAATATATTCACATTTAACATTTATTAAGAGTTACAAATAACTATAATTAATACACTATAATTAACTAGACTCACCTTCGCATTGGGTCTTCTTCCAAAAGATTGTTTATTAAGGTTCGAACGCGATAGCCCATTTTATTGTCTATTGTCAAAACAGTCAACTTGACAGGTCAAAAATATGATCTAACACGTTTCACTGTCACATGTCAATCAGTCAACTCACCCAAGCCCATAAATAAAGCTTATATATCATAGATATTACTATATGCATGTAACTATGTATTGTATTATATCTCTATTTTATTTGTGAAGGTAAAGAAAACAATGAAGATAGTCTATTAATATTTATTTCATAAACAAAACCTCTTACATCTACACTACATTTTATGATGGTAAACTTACGTTAGTTGAAATTCACACTAAAACGAACTATTTTACACTATAACAGAGGAGGTACGAGGAGAAATTTTATTTTAATAAAAAATAGTTTCAACTTCGATAATTACAAAATATCTAATTCCATTATTTCCCAGCCTTTGATAGTACTTTACAATTTTTTTATTTAGCATAACTGAAGAAATAAACGTTGAAGTGGCACAATTCGAACAGATTAAAACGTGACGTTTCAATTATTAATAAGCTTGCTATATCTGCAACAAGTCAAATCATTATAACGAATACAGATTTACTATTAAAACAAAAGTCTCAAAGAGCTGGACCATATTATAAGTCTTTCCTTCTTGGATGAAAAGAATAGAGAGACAAAAGAAGAAATGCTTTTAGCTATATAGATATATGCTATTATAGTAAATGTATTTTGTTGATAGTTAATTTGATTTACAATATATATGACGCACGTAAAACACATGACAATGTATGTTTTAAGTTTTATTTTGTGGTACATTTATCAGTTGTTTTTTATTGAAGTATTTTTATCAATGTGTTAGAATCGTTACATAAGACGTCTTAAGAATGTTAGTTACAATTATTGAGGCTCAGTTATCATTTACAACGTTTCGACGTAGAGGCCATCTTCGTTTTGTTGCAACCGCCTGAAACTATCCATCTGTAATAAAAATCAGACATATATCTGTATTCTCTAGGTCTAGTGCTTAGTCGACGCTATGCGCACCTCCAAGATCGTCCCTAATCTCGCTTTCGCCTTGTCGGAAACGGGCATTGGTGCTGGGAGCTTTTGGAGTCGTACAAGCTCTCCCTAAGCACCGTAGAGGGTTGGTGGTGTGTTTAGTGGTTCTGGTTGGCTATACGATTTATCACACTCCCCACGTCACACTTGACCGACGTGGTCATGCATTAGGCATTCAAAGGCATTCTCATAAAAAAAAAAAAAAAAAAAATTTTTTTTTGGGAAAAAATAAGGGGCGGGGGGGGGGGGGCCCCCGCCCCCCCCCCCCGGGGGGGTTAAACACGCCAAGCGGGGTATTAGCGTGAGAGGTCTTGGATCGAATCTCGGGAATTAATGGATCGTTATGGTAAAGCAGAGGGACTTATCAACAGCTTGCTAATTTAACTTAAAAACCAATCAATGAAATGAACATAGATTTGTATACACCCCATGCACCACGGGAGGTTACGTAATATCACCTTTTGATGTACGAAATGCAAACTAAAAATCGGTCTCGGCTATAATCATACATGTAGAGGGCGACCTATCATCTCTCACTAGACTAGCTTGGTGCTGCTCCAGGACGTTAATGGCTGGAAGGTATTTCGTATATAATCGGCCTAAATGTTAAGGTATGTCTATCTTCTGTCATATGTGAAGATTGTGAAAACGGAATCACATTTTCACAGATTGTCGGTGAGTGACGATTACATTATTTTTTGCGTATGAAATGCAACCCTATTTATGTTGTTGCAAATTGAATTCAAACGTAGGACCTCGTAGAATATCCAGATGACGTAATCAACGTGATCGTTAAACACGATATTTCCTCTATATTATATCTTAAATTAGTCTTTGTACTATTGATAGCGTAATAATGCACTGATTTGCATTTCAATAAAGCATATTGAACCTCCGAATGTTTGATTAGTACAAGTAAATAGTTCTAACGTTACGTTCATTACTATAGTATGATAAATGATATATCTGGATATTTGTTTATAAGTGTTAGCCTGCAGTATTAACAGACAAAGTTTGACCTGGATTACTAGAATATTTTTTTTAACCTTTATATGTTCTAGAATCTAAAAAAAAAAAAAAAAAAAAGAAACAAAAAAATTTCTTCAAAATATGAATTGAATATCACATTATCTTCATAGAAAAAGATACTGTAGTTTCTGTTTATTACAAGTACGATATCCTCAAGTCGTATGGTGCTTTAGAGAAATGCTCTTAAATTTTAAGTGTTTCCATATTGACATCAGAATTGTCATTTTAACATTAATAAGTTCATGTTTAGCTACTATGATCAACTTTTACGTATTAGTACATATTATAAATTTTATTTTGACACAGTTTTATCTTAAATATTACAAGACTTACCCAATGTTTAACGATATTTCGGAGCTTCATATTCATCACATCTCTAGCGCTGTCCTCACGTTCAAATACGCCTAAGAGAAAATAATAATTTTATTATTTTTTTTACACTAGAATAACATACGTTGATTGTCTTCTCGATACGAATTGAGCTACTATACCATTATCTCCAATAAGATTTTAGATATTTAAATAAGTTCAGTATTTCTTCTTAGTATTTAAATTGAATTGATCTTAAATAGATTTATTACAGCCTTAGTACAGAAAGTATTAAAGATAGATAGATATTAAACATTCTACATGCATACCTCCGTCTCTTATCGGTATAATGTCGTCTCCTGAAGGCAAGATTCCGTACCCAGAGTGAGGGTAAACTGGGTGTGGTGGGGTTTCCTCCTGTCCTAATTGTCTACGGCCCAATAATTCAGAACTCGATGGCTGTAAGCATAAAAAGTATAGCGTTATTACGTCGTACCTGTTAGTTCAATGTAAGTGCTACGCGGTGTAGACGTTGCCTCTACGGCGACAAGAAGCTGCTACAACTCGGCGAGATTATATTCCTTAATGCTATTTTGATAATCAAAATAAAAGGCCAAAATTTTGTTGGTAAAGTCTGGCTTATTATTGTTATTATAAAGATTTTTATTTTGAATACAGTATTAATTTTTCTTTTACACTTAAGCAAGTATAAACAAAAATTAATTATTTGTTTATTACATAGCATAGCATACAATAATAGCAAAACAAAATAATAAATATTTTTTTTTGTGTATTTGAATTTTAAGGTAACAATTTTAAAGTACGAATTTCTTTGATATCTTGTAAAAAGTATAACGTCGTTGTCTCTTTTTATAAATGATATAAGTACATTAAAGTAAGAAGTTACGACATAGAAGACTTGCATTTAATTGATTATTTAATAGAACTTGAGAGTTTCTTGTGAATATCCAAAGGCTATAACGATCGGTAGAAGTCAAACTAGAAGCAACATACTGTTTACTAGCCAATGTTTACTTAATCGTTGATAAACATGGCCATTGGCTGTTGTAGTAAACTAAAGCTATAATATACTTCAATATTCAGAACGAGTTCTTAAAATGCTACGTAAACTTAATTATGAAATAAATAATATGACGTCTTAGGTAGAGATCTTGGGTTTGAATTCTAGGGAAATATAAAAGTTTCGGCCAGACAGAGCAGTCAAATGCCTGTTGATTGAATATGTCAGTAGTACGGCATAATGGTAATAATGTATGGCTATTGAACTTTTTGATCGTGCAAATACTGTCTATAGTTATTCACACATTTAAATAAAACACTTTGTCGGTTTAAAACGCGATATATTCGTTAAACTTATTTGAAAATGATTTCTAACTCGGCCAGACGTTCGGATGCTTTGCAGAGTCTTTAGGGGTCTTCAATATATCGCGTTTTAAACTGTTAAAGTGTTTTATTTAAATTGTTGATCGTGTGTTCAATCCCCACTGAGTCCAACATTTTTCTTTTCTAATACATGTTGGACTTCATCTGAAAATCTAGATATTAAAAGGGCGGTAGGAATATCAAAATTCCGTTGGGATCACCGTCTACAAATGAAAATGGCGTGCAATTTAATCACTTTTCGGTTTCATTCTATGTATGGTCTAATTTTGAAAAGTAGCTCCAAAACTAAATAGGGTGAGACTGCATCTTATAAAGATGTTTATGGTCAGGTTATTTAATCTTCCATCAATAACCACGATTGTATATATATAGGTACATAAATTCAGACATATATTTGGCCCTTTGTCACATTATACAAAACTGTGAGAGTTTTATTTATACATATCATTCTTCTCTTTACCTGTAAACTATCTCCGGATCGTTTGCCATGGCCGCCATAACAGGAGTGGCCAAACGCTGAACAGCCACCTACACAAAAAAATATTTTAAAAATAAACACCTCTATCGCCATATTTTGAACAGCTACATTAAAAACCTAACTTTTCAAAATGGCCGCGAAATCCTTATATTTATCACACATGTTGGGTTTTAAAAGTAACAGTGCGATTTTCAACACTTAAGAGTCCACTGTATTTAAATCAAATAAATTAAAAAGCCATTAAAAAAATAAAGCATATATATATATATATATATATATATATATATATATATCAATTAATTCTAAAAAGTCGTTAACACGTGATTACAATTAACACTTTAGTAAATGTGCGGGAATATGTATAATTATTGTGGCTTAAAATTGTAAGTATTGTAAAAAAAAATGTAAGTTTGTGATACACAATTTGTCCTACATTGTGGTTTGTGTCAAAGTTTAGTAATTAGCATATAAATTAATCAAGGCAAATATGACCATATAACTATATGCATAAACGAAACAAAAGACTATCAAATTAAGTAATTATATGGTTTACACAACAATAAAGCAATTTGAGTCGGAACACAATTTTCCACAAACGAAATGAATTTTTAGAATGACGATTTGTGTATTCATAGCGTATTATGTTAATTTTCACGAAAACATATTGTTTCCTGTACATTCTACTTTCTCAATAACATCTGTTACAAAAAATACCTATAGCAATGTTAAAATCCTGTTTTCCAGTCTGGGGCATGGGGCGAACACGTTTTTGTCTCCGTTTGTTGTTGCCCTTCCTGACCTTGAACTTATCAATCCCCCAGGTGTAAAATCTAGCACCTATTGTTAATTAAATACTTAGGAACATATATTTTTAAATAACCACAAACATTATATACGCGAGTTTCAAATTTTTTTCCCGCTCATTTTTGTCCCATTCAACCGTTTGTGATAAGAATTTTTTGAAATCCCTTCCTGTTTGAAACAACGACATTTGAGGGAAGATCTCGTTGTAAGCTACATCCATTCCACTTATATGATACTGTATTTTATCTTAATAAACTTTTGTTAACTAATAACCTTTATAGACATAACTAACCACTAGTGTATCCCTACAAATATTATAAATGCGAAAGTGACTCTGTCTGTCTGTTTCTCTTTTTTCTTTGTTGTAGTGGGGGTGGGTGTTGGAGTGAGAGTTAGAGTAGAAGTGATGCGAGGTGAGAGTGTTGCGGCAATGTCGCACTTACAACATAGATTGGCTGCGATATAGGCGCAATTACATAAATTAATAAACAGCCTAAATAATTAAAAATTCTACCCCAAGTCACTATTCCACGCGATCGAAGTCGCGGGCACAGCTATATATCTATATCAATGAATCAACCTTCGTACTTTTAAATTCAACATAATTATATAAATAAATTTTATAACTAGTTTGGATATTAAAATCAAACTACAAAAAGATCACCCAATTTACATCCACATTAGATAGACGAAGTCCAACCAGATTCGAAAATAATATAAATTGATTAGAAGCACGTTGGACCGCGTGGGGATCGAATTTACGATCCATGATGATTAGCCATACATTACCAACCAGCCCGTCATTGTGACTTATAATTATAGTTTCCGCTACACCCGACGGTATGCAAATCTTTAAGGAAAAATTGTATAGAGGAAAATGCTTACGGAAAACTTCTGTATGTCATTTTCAATTTTAACAGGAAACTATCGACTAATAGAAAGTAGACAACACAATAGCTCAGACGTAAAAACCCTGGCCTACATTATCTTTTATAGGAATAAAAATGCTTAGTAATCCTTATGTCCTTATAGGATACCGTAATCAAAGATAAGAACCCTATTACTAAAACCTTCCAGTCTCAGCAGCTACGGAGACAAGGTATACCAATTGGTAACAGCAGCTGCATGTGTGCTGGTTCAAGTCCCGTCCGTTTTCAATTGAATTTTTCAAATCAATTTTTTATTTAACACAATAGATTTAATTTTACATCGTGCTATTATTTAGTTGTTCTATGATAATAACTAATAACAAATTCAAAATACTTTCTATTTGTACTTAAATATTCTAAATAAAACACTTTAACGGTTTAAACGCGATATATTAGTTAAACCTATTTAAAAATGATTTTTAACTTCGGATATCAATACAATTTTTAAAAAGAAAATTTTGTACTACGTCAATGTTACGGAACCCTGCTAGAGAGTCTGATCTTTGGCCTTGGTCGGTTTTTGTTTACCTGAAAACTTACGTCAAGCATTCAGTAACATTGATTTCAATAAGCACGATATCAAGAATTTTGTAAACAGTACAAGTGATACTATATAGTGTAACGTATATGGAGGCCCCCCCCCCCCAAAACCCCCCCCCCCCCCCCCCCCCCAACCCCCCCCCCCCCCCCTTTTTTTAAAAAAAAAAACAAAAAAAAAAAAAAAACAAAACCCCCCCCCCCCCCCCCCAACAAAAAAAACCCCCCCCCCCCAAAAAAAAAAAAAAAACCCAAACCCCCCAAAAGGAAAAGGGAAAAGGAAAAAAAGGAAACCCCAAAAAGCGCAAAAAACAACCCCCCCCCCCCCCCCCCCAAAAAAAAAAAAAAAAACCCCCCCCCCCCCAAAAAAAAAAAAAAGGGGAAAAAAAAAAAAAAAAAAAAAAAAAAAAAAAAAAAACAAGCGCCAAAAAAAAAAAAAAAAAAAAAACCCCCCCCCCCCCCCCCCCCCCAACCCAAAAAAAAAAAAAAAAAGAGGAGAAAAAAACCCGGGAAGGGGGGCCCCAAAAAAACCCCCCCCCAAAAAAAAAAAAACAGCAAAAAAAATTTAACCCCCCCCCCCCCCCCCCCCCCCCCCCCCCCCCCCCCCCCCCCCCCCCCCCCCCCCCCCAAAACCCCAAAACCACAAAAAAAACCCCCCCCCACCCCCCCCCCCCCCCCCCGGGGGGCCCCCAAAACCCACCCCCCCCCCCCCCCCCCAACCCCCACCCAAAGAAAAAAAAAAAAAAAAACCCCCAAAACACAAAAAAAAACCCCCCCCCCCCCCCCCCCCCCCCCCCCCCCCCCCCCCCCCCCCCCCCCCCCCCCCCCCCCCCCCCGGGGGGCCCCCCCCCCCCCCCCCCCCCCCCCCCCCCCCCCCAACCCCCCCCCCCCCCCCCCCCCCCCCCCCCCCCCCCCCCCCCCCCCCCCCCCCCCCCCCCCCCCCCCCCCCCCCCCCCCCCGCCCCCCCCCCCCCCCCCCCCCCCCCCCCCCCCCCCCCCCCCCCCCCCCCCCAAAACGTTTTATATATAGTCATATGTATAACTAATCGGTACATGTAGTCCAACCCTTAATTAAAAGGTTGCAAAGCTCAAACGAATATAATCCCAATCATAAACTTAAATCACACTTAGACCGTATTATTTTTGAAGAAGCTCTGAACATTTTTTATAAAACATTTGTAACTGTTTAAAACGCATAATAACACAATATTTTATTTAAAGTTACATGACCACGTCTGCTGCATCCGACGTCGAACCGTATTTATATTTAATTGTAAATAAGTTAACTAATATATTTCGAGTTTTAAACCATAAAAGAGTGTTTTATTAAAATGTGTATTACTTCGAACTCATAGAGTACAGACAATACTTAAATTTTATGAACGATTCAAATTTATATATGTATATATATATAGACATATTTTACAGAAAATACAGTACTGCTATTCCCTTAAATAGTTTCACAGATAAAAACATAAAGAAAATAACAGTGTATATCCGAAAAATATATGTAAAGTATGTTACATTAATATGATGTATAATTTTTCTTTGAAATACTCTTTTATACGCTTCGTTCTGGTTACGAATGTCGTCTTGTTGTAGTGCCAACTTTTTTTTACTTAATACGTAACTCTCTTTAAGTATTCTCGAATGAATTACCTTAAGATTAATTTAATACGTTTGGAAGCAAACAAATTCTTTCAATCGTCATCTAATTAAAACTGTTTAATTACATATAAAGATTAATTAGTTTTATTTACATTAGACGTTAACTCGTGAAAGAACATTCTATGATGTCAAATTTCGTTTAAATTACCATGTATATAAAAAAACATATATATGATTGAATTCAGAGACTTTCTCCTTTTCAGGTTCTCTAATCTCAGCAACTACTGGAATTACTATATACCTAACATCACGCTAATACCAATAGGGGCAAAGAAACAGAGGACAATGTGGTAAAAAACGGGAAAAATGATTACATCCTATCTTTGATAAATTGCGTTCACTGTAAAAAGCTTCCAATAAATCAAAATTATGTGTGATAGAATTATTTTTCTGTAATTGATAAAAAAATAAAGTGTATCTTTTAAGACGCGCTCGACGTCTTAGATAACGGACTATATTTTAAGAAGCTGAAGACTAAAGCTGAAGTTGTTTGCAAAAATAAAAATATGATGCGCGAATTAACTATTCCACGCGGACTAAGTTTCAGGCACAGCTATATATAGCCATGTAATGGGAGGTTGACTAACTCCACGGAACGCTATGGTTGAAATTGTCTTGTTTTTGCGATTTAAAAAAATGTTTTTAATTTATTTATAACATTGTTTGCTGTTTTCTAGCTTGCTAAGTATCTTATATTAGCAATATCTATTAACCACATCTTTTGGCCTTTTTTTCGCCTGTACTGTACAACGTGTTGGATACAATGGCGTTAAGCAGAGAGATAATCCAGAAAAAACCATAAATATGTTTCGGTTGAACAGGGCACAGAAACCTATGTCTAAATATAGAATTGTGTTCATTCTATGAACGAGACTTACCACTTTTTTACACGAATTTATAATAATTTATTATTAAAAAGAAACTTATGAATATATAAATATAGACACAGAGCGGTAAATGACAGAAATTTCCATTCTCATTTCAGTCTTTATGGAAATCAAGTATTATGTCTGAAATCTGAATTCATGGAAGTGTAAATGTTTCAGTTTAAAATATTACAATAAAAATGTGCTCTTGAAAACTTTCAACTCTAGAGACCCTTCGTTTTACCTG